ATTTCTTTGTGTGTTGTACATTTTGTTTGTCCAGTCACTGATAGCTACTTGGGTTGTTTCCATCTTTTGGCTGTTGCAACTAATACTGTTATCAGTGTGTGTGTGTGTGTGTGTGTGTGTGTGTGTGTGTGTGTACAAATGTGTCTTCATTTCCTTGCTTTTATTTCTCTGGTGTTTATATCCAGATGTGGCATCTAGCTCCCATGTTAATTCTTTTAAGGTTTTTTTTAGGCGTTACTATAATGTGTTCTATAGAGGCTATACCTTTTATATTTCCATCAGCAAATACAGGTATTCTCGTTTCCACTGGGCAGTTTCCTTTTGGGTTTCTGGTTTACATATTGTTCTAATTTGATTTATGTGGCTATAATAAACACATGATCAAAAGCAAGCTGAGGAGGAAAGGATTTGTTGATTGTACTTCTATGTTCCAGGAACTGAGACATAAACCATGGAGGAGCGCAATTTAGTGGTTCTCTTTCTTTCTCTCTCTCTCTCTCTCTCTCTCTCTCTCTCTCTCTCTCTCTCTCTCTCTTTTACTTTCCACCTAGCATTCTTACAGAGCTCAGGAACATCTAGTAACACCCTCAATGAGTCTGTCCCCTCCTACATCATTTAGTAATCAAGAAAAACCCCACTGGCAAACCCACAGGACAGTCTGATACAGGAAATTCTTCAATTGCGGCTCCTTCTTTCTAGATGTGTACACTATTTGACAATAAAAGCTAATGTATAATATGTGTAATAATATATGTGTGTGTTAGCCACTCTGATGATTGTGAACTCATTATAGTTTTAATTTGTATCTTTCTACTGACTATTAATGTTGAATAGCTCTTAATTGGCTTATTTACCATTTGAGCACCTTCTTTGTGTAAATATCTGCTTAAGTCCTTTGCTCATTTTTGATTTAATTGTTTGTTTTCTGTTGATGAATGGTAAGTGTTCCTTGTAGAGTATAGATATTAGCAACTTCTCAAATCTACGATTTTCAAATATTTTCTCTGGTTTTGTCTGTTGCTTTTTCAAACTGTTGTGTCTTTTGATGACTAAAGAAAGATGTCTAATTTGATCAACTCATCTTTTTCTCACTGCTTATACTTTGGGGTTCTTATCTCTGAAACCATTACCAAACAAATGTCCTACGGTCATTTCTTTATATTTTCTTCTATGAGTTTTATAGTTTTGCATCTCATGTCTGTGTCTTTGACCCAGCTGAAGCTAATGTTTTTGTATAGTATAAGAAGCAGGTGCATCCTTTTGTATGAGGAAATCCAGTTTTCCTAATAACATTTGTTGATAAATAGAGACCTATTAAAATTGCTGGTTCCTCAACCCAACTGTTTTTCTCTTATGGTTGAAACCTGATATGCTGACCTGTCTTTCTGACTTAAACCTATTCTGCCCTAAGTTGCTTTCGTTGGGGTATTCTATCACAGCAACAGGGGATTGAAACTCAGACTTCTGGGGTCCTACTCCGAAAAGCTGCAGAGAGACGTAGAGAAGGTATGAGTCTTGGCTCCCAGTAAGCATTTCTTAAGTGCTAGAGACTGTTACCCTGAGCCCTCGTCACACAACAGTACTGCTTCATTTGGCACCCAGACTCCCAGAGGGCCGGCCAGCAGCACAGCACCTACAGTAAGGAGATGAACAAGCAGTCCCTTCTTCCTACAGTCTGCTGCATACATAGACTCCATTTTCTATAAATATGAATTAGTGCAATCAGACACTCTGGGATATTAACTCAGAAGCTGCCCATTGAAGCCAGCCTTGTTCCCTTAAAGGCAGTAAGAAAGGTACATTGAGAAAGTGTGATAGCAGCGCCTCAAGACATCTTTCTTTCCCCTGCCATCACCACCCCCATTCCCTTATGTCATAACTTCCCTTATCTCAGAGAGAAGACGTCTCTGTTCCATATTCCTCCCACATTTCTGTAAGCATGTCATTCTGAAAGTTCTCCCTCTTCTAACAGTGTCTCTCCTCCTTAATGCTAACTTTCCTCTTTGGGGAGGAGCCTCCAGGATCAAGGGAACCCCTACTGATGGACATACCTGTTCAGATGCTCTGACTCCAATTTAGTCCCTGAGTGAAGAAGAATGTACTTCCACATTCTATCCAGCACTGTGTGTCTTTTACATATGTGTATATGCATACATATGTGCATATATATGTATACCTTTAAAGGTGATAGAGCAAGTTTTGTAGCTGAAGGACATATTTACATGATTCTGAGTTTACAAGATAAAAACAAAGTGACTTTCTCTTCCTTTGCCTGTCTATATAAATAGCCTCTGATGCCCAAACAAAGCTTTACTTGAATTACAACCATTTTATTACTTATTGTATTACAATACAACATTGTATTGCTTGGATTACAGCATAGGAGGTTAACCTCTGTGTCCATCCTCAAAGTCTCTTCTCTCTGCACTCGTTTGGTGTTTTCCTCAGTTTTAGGTAAGGAGTAAGAAAACCAGATGTTATCATGGACTCTTGGTTAAACTTGCTCTGTTGTGTTTATGCTGAAACATACAGGATAGTCCATGGAGCACAGGAAAACATGGAGCAGAGGGAAGAATGTCACTGCCAAGAGCAAAGTGCACCCAGACAGAATGGGGCTAGTGGCCCAAACACAGCTGGTCTCAGCTCAAGCTGAAGAGCAGCCTAAAAGCTAGGACCCGTTACTTCTTTGTCCCTCTGTGTTTATCAGGCCTTTCAGATTCAGATCCCGAATCCAGAATGTGAACTCCAGCAGTTTATTTGGGGGAGACTCAGGGAGCCCTTTAGAGCAAAATGGGGTGTAGGCAACTGGGCTCAGTCCCACCTACATGTTTTAAAGGTGATGAGGCACCTGAACTCTGGCCAACAAAGGGTTCAAAAGATGGGTTGTGCAAGCACCAACTCCCACTTATCTTCTAGTAATGGCTGATTAATCCAATGAACCTTTTCTGTTCATACAGTGATCAAGCATGCTCCTATCCTGAGAGAAGCCCCCAAACAGAGCCTCTCCCACATGAGCAGAAATGCCTAGAGTGTGTTCCGGGGCAATGTGTCTGGCACACGAAAGCACCTGGCAGTTTGGCCTAGATGAACCTTCATCTGCATCCTCTTCTCCTCTGTCTTTCCTCAATGAAGCGATTGCTATTTGTTTCTTGCCACTGCTTTTATTTATGGACGTGTGTACATGTATGCGTGTTTATCTGCCTGTGTCTGTTTGCTGTGCTTATCTGGGTATGTGTGTGTGTTTGTGGACCTATGTCTGACTCTGTATGTATCTACATTCTCCACCCACTTTGGTAATAATGAATAACCCAACACTGTTGCTTGCATGGTGCTCTTCTGAGCAAGGCTGGCAACTGTTTCCTGCCAGGGGTGAAGCAGCAACTGTTTTAGATTCCACAGGCCATCCAGGCCCTGCTGTAACCTTCATGTGACCAGAAAGCAGCCACAGGAAGGTGCAGACCTCTTGGGGAAGTTACTTTGGCACAGGGATTTGCCACTTGTGGTCTAGATGGTGAGTCATATGCTCCCCTGTTATTAATTTCCCTCCATCTTAGCCTTTCACTGTCACCCTGAAAAGATGCCAATTCAGGATCCAGACCCATCAGCTCTAACACACATGTGAAAAGCTCCATCTGGAGCCTTCAGCATCATAAGATGAATTCAAGTGCCTGCTTGCATCTCTTGTGGGTTTTGTTAAGCTGCAAATGTTCTTAGGATTTTAAAATATTATTTCAGATGCAATAAATGACTCTTTTCTTCAACCCCCCAAAATTATCATTTTTCTCCTTTTTTCTTCCTTGATCTGTGTTGCCACAATTCTTTATCCTAATCTTCCTTTTGTCCAGCTGCGCTCTCCTTTGTACAAATGAAAACAAACAAATTATCCGCTGGCTAAAAGTCTTGGGCTGGAGTCCCTAGGACATTTCATCCTGAGTTACTCAGCTGTATCCCAACCTCAGCAGCTGTCCAACATGGTCCAGATACCTAACCACACAGTCACCCTTTTCTTCCCTTCCCCAACTCTCTCCTCTTCCCTCCACTCTTTCCAGGATTGACTGACTACATGACATCGGTTTTTGCCTCACTGCTCTTACCCAGTCCTAGAAGCCTGATTTGTCTTCAAAGTCTAGATTCTTATACAACTTGAACCGCAAAGGCAAGATTTGAATCAGGCTGTGCCTGTAAAGAAGGCTGACACTGGTGCTCTTTGGTGGCAGCTGGAGGGCTGCCTAGGCAGGTTGCGTATCAAGCAATTAATATAAAGCTATAAACTGCAAGATCTGACGCATTTACATCTTATGTTTCTGAAGTAGACTCATGTGGAGTTATAAATCAGATTCATGCTAACCCATCTTTGGGGGACAAGGCTCAGCATACTGATGTGCTTACACCTGTCTCCACATACGGGCTGCTGGGGGCAGAAACTCCGTCTTTGAGGTGCTCAGGGAATTAGGTCATTACCTTCAGAGGATACCTCAGGGACAACAACAAACTCCAGTCCTGCCCCAGGGGAGCTAGAATCCTGAATCAAGATGGCCGCTGAAATGAGAAGCAGAATCGACAATAACAGCAAAATGTCACGGTACCACTCCTACCTACACAGCAATGTTTGCTTTCCTGACCTCTATTTTCTCTTTCTGCCATCCCTGGGTCTGCATCTTTCTCCCAGATCCGACTGAACAGCTTCTGAAATTATCTACTCTCTGGGCTCTTGCTGTTTTTATTGGCTCTGTTGGAGATGGGTTCTTCACTCACCAATTCAAAGTGTGTTCCAAGACTTGGAAGTTTTCTGGCTACAGCTGGGCCAGTGCCCAGGTAACTACTGTCAGGAGAAATTCTTCAATCTCTCTGAGCAAACTGGACAGCTCTACTCACCCTAGATACTTCACCATCTTGTAACCACCCTGTAACCCACATGTAGCTCATCTGAGCCTGGATTCACAATGACCCACAAGAGCTCTCTATTACTTTGCTATGCAATTAATTACTCCTCGCCCAGCAAACTTCAAATAAACTCTTTATTTTGCTCATAATTTGGGGATCAGGGATTTGGGAGGAAAATGACTGGGAATCTTTAATTTAGAATCCTTCAAGTAACTGAACACAGATGCCTACCCAGGATTCAATCTACTAACTTCTCTTCGAGTTGGCTATTAGATACCTAACAGGCAATGCCTGTTGTGTGGCCTGCCTTCTCATTCCTAAAGGCTGGTTCTAGCGGCAAATCTGTAGAAGATGTTATTCAAAATCCCAAGCTCAAACCCGCAAGGTGTTTTCCCTCTGTGTGACATACACTTCAAGGGATCAAATGAGCCTGTCAGATACAAAGAGTGAACAGAACCCCCCCTCCTTTCTCAATGGAGGGATGTCCAAGATTTGTTCCTTGTTTAATCCACTGCAAGGCCACAACCATATTCCAATCCAGTGAGCCACCTGCAGAAGTCAGATGAACTGGCAGGCCAGGTCTAGCGTGGCTTCTCCTGGAGCGTGGAGGGAGGGTGCCAGGTCTTCATGAAGGCATGGCTTATGGTGGTTCCATGTAGAAGAAGGCCTCACTCATCTCAGGGCCTGCTTCTTCCACTGCCTGTGTGACCAGAGCAAGTGACGTGACTTCTTTGGTCTTCAGTTTGGTTTCTTCATCCAGGGTGATGCCATTCTTCAGTTGACTGTGGAAAGCAAATGGGACTAAATGAGAAATGTACTGAATAACAGCTACTACAGCCCAATTCCTGCCGCATATTCCTGACACAGTAGGTGTCACACTGACTAAACAGTATCACTGCGAAGGACAACAGGGGAGGCTCTTACATCTGCCAAGAATATTAATAAGATCTCCTCCAGACCAGACCACCATGCTATCATCTTTGACTTGGTAGGGGGATGGTATCCCTCCTGCTCCAGCCTTCCTCTCCTTATCTTCCTCTGCATCTCTCCCTTTCACTCCTCTCTCACTCTCTTGATTGTTCTCCTGTCAGTTTGGGGCTTCCCAAGGGATGCAGTAGGTCACCTCTGCTGCTGTCTTTCCCTGTGATACCTACAGCAAGCTCCAGCTTCACTCAGTGCCAAGAGGATGCTCTGGTGTGAATAGGCTACGACCCTGTTGAGGTCAAAAGTCAGGGTGTTTGAATCTCAGTGTGTGCTCTCATTATAGAGACATACTTTTCACAGGTGCTGCCTAAAGACATGTCAGTCTTTCTGGTACCTCTACAAGCACCCATTCCCCTGCTTCTTTGGAAGAGTACTATGACATCATGTGTTAAGAATTTGGGCACTGGGTTTACCATGTCTGTGTTTTAACAACCCAGCACGGGTGTGCCCAGTACCTATGAAACCTTTCATCATCTCACTGTCTCTGTGGTTGAAGATTTGGGACTTCAGTTACTCTGCCTCACCAGAACTGAAGCTAACTCTATACATCTAATTAGCCTGCTCCCACCACAGCACTCCACAGCCATATCTACCATGCCCGACAGAGAGTTGCGACCATCACCCCCAGCCAAAGAACAGTGAGTAGCCTAGAGCCCAAACACACACACATGGTGTGCAGGCGGCTTGCAGTCAGGCCTGTTTTCCGGACTCTGTTAACTCCACCCCCAGGGCTGGTGGCTCAAGAGAGCCAGGGTCCCATGAAAGTCAGAGGGAAACTCTGTCATCTGCCAGCACACAAACACCACTTGTGTTTGTAGCCCCCAGGCTTGCAAGATGCATTTTCCTTTCAAAAAATGACCTGGAACTTGTATTATGAAGGCTCTTCTGCTTTGCTTATTTTGCCTTGTATAGTCTTGAGGGCAGAACATCTGTCAAAATTGTTATACAGCCTAGATCCTCTCCTCACTTATGCTAAATCCTCAGGATATTAGCCTTTCTTCTTGCTTTGAAAACAAACTTCATAGTTCATTGCTATCCTCCCCATTGGCCTGGACATCTCAACATTCTCCAAATCACTAGCCTCTTCTGACACAATCCTCATCTCTGACTAAATAGCAGTAACCTGGGCCAAAAGCTAGCTTGAGCAGAGTTCCCTCTTTTTCATGAAATGACCAAACAGACAGCGCAAATGTATGTGGTGACCTGTAGCATGAATAATAAAAACCCAGAAACAGATATTGGAGTTCAAGCTGAAGATCAGAAGAACAAAGCAGCCAAGCCACTAGAGAGTTCTTACCTCTACCCAAGGTTCAGACAAACAAAGGGGCAGTTCTGTCCTCAGCGTGACTGTGGACTGCAATGGTCTCCACCAAACCTCAGACTACAACGAGCTCTTGTCTCCTCCTGCCTGATATACCTCTCTCTGCCCAGCCATATCACTCTTATCTCCACCTCCTTAGTTCTGGGATTAAAGCATGTGACTCCCAAGGGCTGGGAACACCTTTGTGTGAGTTCTATTTCTCATTTTAGACAGATTCAATCTCATGTAGCCCAGGGTGGCCTTCAGTCCTGGTGTGTGCCATAACTCCCTGGCCTCTAGTGGCTTGGGTCTGCATGCTGATCTTCAGGCAAGCTTTACTTATTAAATAAAGTATAAAGTATACAATACAAATAGGGTATCACTATAGTGACCCGTGGAGAGACTACCTCTTTGGTACAAAGAGAGCCTTGACTTGGGGCTGGTGTAATTACTCGGCTATTAAAAGTACATGTTCCTCTTCCAGAGGTTGGTTTCATATCAACATGCAGTTGCCTATAATTCCAGCTCCAGGGGAGCTGGCACCCTCTTCTGATGTTCAAGGAAAGCCCACTAAGCAGGGAAGAAGCCTGCCTCTGTGCTCTGCAGTTCCCAGGACTGTGTGTGTGTCACTGTTGTTTTGAATGAACAACGCTGAAGCTCTGGAAGACCAGACACCACAGTCAGACCTGCACCAGGTCCCTCATAAACGCCGAGAGCTGTACACAATTGTCCCTCTCACGGGCATCCACGTGACCAAGGGCTCTGTGCACTGGACTCTGAAGCAGTGTAAGGATTTAGCGGGGATGTGAACTCTGTTCTTCCCTTGAACTTCCTGAGACTGTTGAGGGAAGAGCCAGCAGGAAGGAGGGATGATATGAAGAGATGCCAGATGGTCTGTGGGCTGGTCCAGGGACCATGACCTTCATATTGGAGCAATCCTTGTGGATTTAGCAAGCAGGCAAGTGATCCCCTCCCCTCCCCCCCCCCAAGAGATGCTGCATTTTTGCATTTTGGAACACTGCCCTGAAAAGCTTTGGTATGCCATACTGGGGTGGGGGTGGGGCCATATGGAGCAATGACTAGTCAGTTAAAGGGGACCATTATCCTCATATACTCTCAAGAAGCAAAGTACTCCTCTCTGTGTAAGCTACTGCTTTAAGGGTCATCCCAGCTTTTACAGCCACAGAGTGTTGGGTAGTTGTCTAAGGGATACTGTGGTTCTAATCTACCCACCCTCAAGGCTTCACCCTAGGGGCACAGAGAATGGGGCACACCAGCCATACCTTCCTTCTCAGAGACCATGGCCTTGCTTTGGTCTGGACTGAGCTTCTCCCTGGGTTTGTTTCAGAGCCCTTAAAAATAGCAGGCCAGTTAGGCTGGCTGGCCTGGAATTTCCTGGAACCACCCATGGCAGGGCACTGGACCCAGGCTGTCTGTCAAGGGCGCTTTCCCTGAGCTTCCACCCTCCCTTTTGAGTCCAGCAGGAGTGTTAGGAAACTAATGTTTCCAGGGGTGAGTTGGTGACGTTCCTTCCTGACCCTGGGGTGGCGAGGAGCTGAAAGGTCCCTTGAAGTTCTGGCAGTCCGACTGGGAGTGGCCAGAAGTGAGGACTAAGTGTGGGGTCAGAACTCAAGGACAGCAGCATTCTGTGTGTGGCATTCTTTTCTCTTTTTTTTTAAAATACATTTTTAATTAAAATAGAATTGCATCACGCTTCCCGCATGAACCACATGGTATTCTTTCCCTAACCTGTGCTTTCTTTCTCGGAAAATATGATTCAGACATTCTCCCCACCTGACACTCTGCCCATGAGGTCACTGGCCCCTGATCAAAGACACAGAGGTGATTCAGCCCTTCCCAGGAATGAAGCTGAAACCTGTGGCCTCACCTAGGGTGAGATAGGGGATTAGGTTGGTTAAGTGAAAGCAGTCCCCCTTCACCCCTGGAACTCAGCTATATTTGCCTTTACGAATACAAGCTGTTGGGAAAACAACAGGAAATCAGAAAAACAAAAATCACAGTCGGACAGATGCAAATTGTGTTTTCTATCTGAGTGCTGATTCCTCGAAGTGCAGGAGACCACACAGGGAGAAGTCAGGGGGTCAGATTCCATGCCGCCTCCACAGTGACACCTCCACACTCCTGCCACAGATGACACGGGCAAAGTTAGAGAAGTAGCTGAGGGGCTCCTGGGCACTGAGAATAGACAAAGATAAGAAGGCCAACGTAGAGACACTTCTGCTCCTAGCATCAGGGACCCTGCCCTGCTTCATGCCTTCCCCCTGGACTCTTTATGGTTATACATCATCAGCTTAGAGATAGCAGACTTGTGAGGGACCCTAGGAACTCCTCTATCTTCCTGTCTTCCCTGGCCATGTTGGCCTCTACTGTCACCTTAAAGGGTGTGCTGGAGAGCTGGGCCCTGTCTCTCAGGTGCCTTTAGACACACCTTTCCTGTTGGGAGCTGTTTTATCATATGAAACACAAATTCAGCAATCCTACCTCTTTGTTGTCTATAGAAGGTGATGGTGGCATCAGCTGAAGGAGATTTGGGGTCCCTACTAACTTGTTCTGCATTTATGATACATCTCCTCTCCTTGAGGCATACTAAGTCTGTCTGACAGTACCCTTCGGAGTCTTCTGAGTCCATGACCCACTGTGAGAACAAAGACAAGCAGGGGATGTATCTAATTCCAAGACACCATGAGGGAATTCCCAGAGGATTGGGACCCTAATGTGTGACCTGACCCCTCCCAATTGTGTGAAGTCAGGAACTCCATCTTCCCTGGCTAAACCCTGATTACCACTAAGCAGCCTTTAGGGACCTTGAATGAACTAATAAACAATGCTATGTCCGTGTGATCCTTATGTATAGTCAAGTTTTTATGAACTATTAAAGGGAAATTTGGCTGAAAACCATTTCCCCATTCTTACCCAATTAGAAGAGCTGGGAAAATTCTGGGTTTTATGAAAAGCACCCACATCCTTCATCCAGTCTTCACTATTTTAATACTCAGAGTCAATTCACGGAGTGTTTAAATCAACAGGTCTAACTGAGCTCAGAAATCAAGAAGTAGGATCTGGCTCCTCCTCAGCCTGTTGTGGCAACTGTTTCTGCTTTTGATGTTGTTTGATTTTGTTTTTCTTTTTTGCTTGTGTATTATGAGTCACAATGGTATAGGCATCTGGCGCATACAAATCATGAATTTCATTCTATCAGTTCAAGTCAAACAGCAACCAATGAGACCTAACTAACCAAGGAAACAGTTCTACCCAGAAGTCTTTGTGAGATCAGGGGCATTGTGTCCTTCAGCAGAAAACTTGATTAAAAGAACAATGCTAGAGTCATTGCGCTGTGGCTTCCACACAAGGTCTGTTGATTGGCTTGCAGTCGGTGAACTGCATCTCTTAGCCATCTGTGAACTTGGCATCTCTTAGCCATGTGGACAAGACTGTTCTCTGTTCCTCACTTTGCCTTCTCTGTCCGTCCTGACAGAGAGGCCCAGGGGCAAAGGGAGGAGGAATTCTGGAGCAGCCAGTGTTCTCCACTGGAGCTCCAGCCATAGCTTGAGCCTGCTGACTTTGGTGGCTGGGTTGTTCCAGCTCCCAGGTTCCATCATCTAAGCCCATAACCCCAAAGATTTGTCAGTAGGAGGAATTATTATCTTCTCAGGCTTCCTGTCTTGGCACGCCAAGACGGAACTAAATTTGTTTGGTGGCTTCAAGAAGACTTGGAAAATGTTCCGCATAATTTCTCAAGCTGACAATGTGACTGCCGGCACATAGAGAACTCAGCCTCTAGCTCAACGTTCTCCCCTGCCGGCTAGTTTCCGGAGCTCTGGAAGGTGTTCTGCAGGCTGCTGGGGAAGAAGGGAAATCAACTGTTTTACCCAATGCTGGAGCCTGCATGCTACAACAGTGACTTAACTTGCCCGGCAAGTTGTGCCCAATGGTGCACTAGTGGCTTGGCTCGTATGGGGTAGCTCACCACTTTCCAATTACTGAGGCCTCTTTTCTTTGAGGATAAGGTTCCCCGGGTTAGTAACCTTTTTTTGTGGTAGTACTAGTGTTATTTAAAGTGCTTGATTGGGAGCTAGTGGAAGCTGAAGACCCTGTAACTTCAGCCAGAGCAGCTGCAACCTGTTAGCATGTAGATGTTCATCTAAGTCATCTAAGGGCTCCAGATCACCTGGGGCATCTGACCTCAGAGACAGGAGGAATGGCTCTCAAGGCTGCCAGGGTCTGCTTTCCATTACTCATGATGTACTTCCTGTCGCTGCACCCAGCTGTATCCATAGGTTGTGAATGGGGCAGAACCTGGGGGATCTGAATAGGCTGAACTTGGATAACAGAGAAGCTATGATTCTTTCATGGTTGGGAGTCTGAGAATAGTTGATGGTTTCAGGAGACAACACAATAGTAGACACAGCTAAATGAAGGGTACTCCTAAAACCTTAAAAATAAAATCCCAACAAGCAGGTAGCTTGGTTCTCGGACCCCAAACTCAAAAAATGAAGTTCATTTGAGAAGTAGGATTCTTAGAACTGCAGCAAGGGAAAAGCTATTCCATGGCATGGGAGAGGTGCATGTTGAGTCAGGCATATAGGGTAGAGAGATGAGGACCTGTGGGGCGTGGTAAGCTGTGATGGATGCAGCATTGATGGTGCACGGTGAGCAGTGACGGATGCTGCATGCACTGATGGTGCATAGTGAGCAGTGATGGATGTTGCACTGATGGTGCACGGTGAGCAGTGACGGATGCTGCACGCACTGATGGTGCATAGTGAGCAGTGATGGATGCTGCACTGATGGTGCAGGGTGAGCAGTGACGGATGCTGCACTGATGGTGCAGGGTGAGCAGTGACGGATGCTGCACTGATGGTG